ACGATGCCCCCGAATCACCCCGTCATCAAGGGGGGCCGCCGGCGGCACATGGGACATCAGGGACCTCCGCCACCAAGGACACATGTCGCACCAGGGTCCGCCGGGGCCAGGCCACATGCCGCAGCAGGGTCCGCCACCCGGCAATGCACGGGCCGCCGCGGTCGGACCACCACCGCGCGCGGCCACCCCGCGCACGTGCGCAGCACCACATGCGCGGTCCTCCGGGCATGGAGATCCGCGGCCCGAGGCCGGAACGGGACAGGCCGGCCGATCTCGTCGCCTGTAACCAGCCGGGGCCGCCGCCTGCCCGGTATCCACAGCGCGGCCCGTCGCTGCCGCCGCTTCAGATGAGAGGGCCGCGCAGCCGCCAGCAGACGGCGGTCTCCTCTCCTGGCCACTTCCCGCCTCCGGGCGTCGTCCGCCGCCGATGCAACAGCATGCGGTCCGCGGTCAGCGTTGCGGCAGACCTTCTCGTCTGCCAGCCGCAACAAGCCAGCATGGTCCCCCGCCGGTGCCCTGTCGCCCGCCGCCCCCAGCAGGCGTCCCTCCGCCGCTCCGCACGTGAATCCCGCTTTCTCCGCTCGGGGAGGCCCGCCTCCGGCGTGCTCGGGGATTACTCGCGGCTGCCCGGCGCAGGAGCCGCCGATGTCTGAGCAGGAGTTTGAGGAGCTGATGTCGAAGAACAAGTGTGTCGAGGCAGCGCGATTGCCGCGCGCCGTCAACCGACGCCAGCATGGGGCGACTACGGCAGCGCCATTCGAGACACTACGTCACGGCGATATCGCTCAATCAAGCAGTCGAAGGTTTGCCAACGAAGACCGCTGAAAGATCCTCATCGCTCGCTGGCAGGACACCCTGCGCGCATCTGAGGAAGAAGCGTACGGCTCGGACGTGAAGAGCCGCGACCGCTCCGCGACGGCGTTCGCGCGACCGCGACTGGTTCTCGTCGCGGCGCGTCGAGAAGGTGGCGCGGCGCGACCGTCGCTGCAAGCCGCGAGCGGGCGAGGATAAGGGGCGCAACCACGAGCGCGATGTACGCGGCGACCGATCGGCGAACCGCTACGACGACGAGCGCGCACCGTGAAACGCGCGAGGTTCGGGAATGGGCGCGAGCTCACGGCGAGCGGGGGCGACCGCGAAACCGGTCGGCGAAGCGTGAACGCGAAACGCGAGTATCGGTACACCGTCGTCGTCGGCGTCAACTGATGCGCTCGACCCTTCCGCTCGCCATGTGTGCGTGTGGTGGCTCCCCGTGCGTCAGATTGCGACCGAGCGGCAGGTAGATGGAGGAACTTGCGTGGAGGCTTGGCCGTCTGTTGAGTGATCTGCGTCTTTGTTTGGGAAAAGTTGCACCACTTTTGTCGAGAGGCCTCTGCCTTATTTTTCCTCTCCGTGGAGTTTTCGTTAGTTATCTGTTTTTGGAGAGAAGGAATTTTTGAATTCGGTATCTGATAATGCGTATTGCGCTAACGTTCACAATGCGTTGTGTTGTATTTGGTTTATTCTAAAGGCATTGTAAGAGTTATGTGTAATGGATCATTGTAGAATTTCTATACTATACGTATTAGTTTGTGTAACGCAGTTTAAGCTTGTAGCGTTTTTCAAATAATTTCAAGTAGATTTGCTCCTGAAGTATAAATTGTCATAATTGGGGATTTCTGATTAAATAATGAGTTTATTGATTAGCCTTCAACGACTCCTGTTAAATAACCAATCCTCATAAACTTAAGTAGGCAGCTTAACATAGGCAATTGGTGTAAAGAAATTCTGGCGTAAACCTTGCTTCGTAATGATATTTGTCACATGTTTTTTTCTAATATTGTTTTTAACTTAGAATTTTGAGGAGTCATGTAACAACAATGTGTTTGATTTCTATCATCTCAGTTCTGTATACGACTCAAGTTATCATGATCAACTCATGAGTGAAGGGTGTAGAAGGTAAAAAAAAAATTATTTTACATATTATTCTGTAGCAATTTTTGTAATCTTGTGTAGGTATGACTCTAAAAATGTAGTTTAAACCAAGAAGTGTAAATTGATAGTTGCATCCATTGTTGTTCTACTATAGTGTTCTCCAGTCGGCGTGAAGGACTTGACTTTTCTGTTTGGACCTGAACATACTAGTGTCGGTTGTTAGAAAACTGCTCGGCGAAGTGTCACCGTCATCCCACGCGTCAGGAAAACAGGAAACATGCCTAACTGAGAGGAGCGAGGAGAAGTGGAGCCACCTTGAGGAATCGTGGTAGCACGTATCAAACGCCCTCGAACGAAGAACAGACGTTCCTGCCACTGTCAAACAACTATTGCCGGGAGAGACGACTGTTCCAGCTGTCGATGACGGTTGGGATTTGTGACGCATGTCCTATTGCTTTACGATTTGTATCCCCTTCCCCCCAGGCCACGTGTGTGAATGAACTGAATCAAGATATCTGTGGCAGCATACTGGAAATAGTAAGCGAGAAAGACTAAGGTGCCCTTATTGTTAAAGGGGAGTAACGCTATAGGGCAATTGGGAGAAAATTGATTAAGGCCACAGTCAGGTTTTTATAGTGTGATGACACAATGTATGCATACTAGAATAACTTGATGATTTTATCGCACAGAATGCAATAAACGTGTAGTGTTTTGTGTTACAATTGCTTTAGTGATTGAAGTGATTATAAACTGCTTGACTGTTTATCTTTGATTGTATCTGGTATCATACCTGGACAATTGTTTAATCATAATATCAAATTTAGGCATCAAAATAGAAATGTAAAACAAAACTTACAGGTGTTTTTTCACTATGAATTTGTTACTGTATCTCTTCAGTAGTTAATGCCTTTACCTTTATGTCCTCGTATCGATTGTGTGGAATATATTAGTTATCGTTATATCAGCATATATATATGATTCAACCTCCTAATTAGGAAGTGTATATGTGTACTATGGTGGTCGAGATACAACGTAAGAGGTGAGCAAATCCTTTGCGTTTTTGTGGGCAGGGCAAAATATCTTAGTGACTAACCGTACGGTTTACTCTCGCACTGCTCTCCTAAACGAGATTGCTTAAGAAGAATCTCATCCTCTCACAATAATTTGTTGATTTATGTTTGTGTTACGAGCGGTGCCCGTCGCGTATCATGTGCAGAGTACACGCATGTGTTTGTACGTGACTGTTAGTTAGGCGTGCTATGCTGAAATTTCGCAACCTAAAAAGCTAATTATAACAATTAAATTAGGTATCTGGTAACAAATACGTGTGGGTATAGACGATTTGTTATACAGTAAGTACAGTTGTATGCAGTAAAATCCTAGTCTAGTATCCCTTTACGACAGGCTTAGGTCGCCCTACGACCCGATTAATTTATCGCCGATTGACGTCATAATAACACTCATGTTGATTTGAGGTGATTTTGGGCTGTACATCGCCGATCAGCACCGCCCAGATCGTAGCGTTCTACAGGAAACGTAGACTGGTTCGCGGCCCCAGTGTTTGTACCAGCACAAGCAGTTCTCTAGCACAAACAGAGCAAGCTTGACGACGGACCAGTCTACATAAAACGAGTCACGTGACTTATGGTAATCATGTGACTCGACACGTAGTGGTGATTGGCTGGGACTCGCGATTTGACGCCGACCAGCGTGTAGAAATAGAACCGTTTCTACTCCTGCGATCGCAGTCGGCGAAAGCGAATTTCGATCGTAAGCCTAAGAGAACTCATGTCAAGTTTAGTCGCCGATGTTTTCATCGGCGATCTGGCCGGTTTAACCGGGTCTTTGTTGTACGATCTTCAAATTTTGTCGGCGACCAAATCGTAAGACGTTAAGACTAAGCCTAAGGTGACATAAGCGCGTTAGCCTGGCTTCAGACACTGAGACAGTCTTACTCTTAGTCTAAGTTACATATTTGCATTATTATATTAATAATAATATTAATTTAAATAATTATTATATTAGTAACTAATAGTATTATTAGTAATTAGAGATTTAGACTAGGCCTAGAGCAGTAGAGGCAGAGCCTAGACTAGAGAGGGTTCAGGTTCCCTGAATTAGTTTCACTTCCCGCATTTAACTTAACGATGCTGACAGGTTCGAATATTAAGTTATATAGTCATGCATTTTCTGGAGTAACCTAAACATTTAAGTACCTGTTTGTTGAAGTAAAGCTCGAGAAAACAAATTTGAAGAAAATATCATGTGCGCGGCCATTTTGAACGTGTGTGATAACAGCGACGCATCGCGGGGAAAAATAATACACGTTGTATTTCTATCCCGAAATGCAGATGTTGGAGAACAACAACCGCCATCTGTTAACATGTATTATTCCGCGGAAAACTAGTTGCGGGCACTTGAATTTACGCTACTCGCTAGTAAAGATAGTGTAAATTAATATGTGAACAAAATAATATTATAAATGACACAGAAAGGATAAATTTTATTATTGTGTTATATAAAGTCGTTGATACTTATTTTTATTGCGTTATTTTTTTAGCGAACGTGCGAACAGGAGGCCGTTATCAGTTTCTACAACAAAGGTAAGAAAAGTCTTGAACTCGTCTTTTTCACCGTTCTGTGCAGTTGTACATTTGATTCATAGATGCTCGTTCCATGTAAATAACATGTATATATTGTTAAGAGTCCAGAAGTTTCACAAAAATAGTGGTTTATTTTAAGTTTGCATAAGAAATTGTGTCTGCTTTGAAAGCCGAGTTTCCGAGCGTTAACCGGCTTGGCAGCCATGCTTGTTGGACTGTTGGCGCGCGTTTGTATTGGCTTAGATCACAGGCACTTGGACCGTTTCAATAATAAAATGATGGTTAATAAATACAACTTGTCAGTAGCCTACTACTACAG